CAATGGACTTGATTACGGACAATGCAGGACGTAAATTTCACCAGGAAATTCCGCAGTGTGCTCTCGCAATCGCGGACTTCGCCATTTTTGATGTCACGTGATAATTATGTAAACAATGTCTGTCCAGTTTGTGCGAACTTGCCCCTCTATACTTAGTCTTTTGATATATATAACCTAAATTACTGTTCTGAACGAGACAACAGACAGAGAATGTTTTATTTAAAAACGTCACAAAACCTTCTCGCTACCTTAAGATTCGCTTCAATGTTATCAGATGATTATACTCGGTTTGAGCATGCGCCGTGTACCTAATTCAAAATAACTAGGCGTCGCAAATAATATGGCTGTCAACAGTTTGTATATGTTTTTTACTAGGTTCGCTTTAATGGAATCACGGGATTGGTGGATTTTAGTGAACGTGGGACACGTGATGATATAAATATGACCATACTCGGATTGAACGATAAAGGGATGAGATCGGTGAGTAGTGAACTAAAAACTGGCGATCGGTTCCGTGATGCAGGTGGAATGGTCGAGATCGTATCGATGAAATAAGACAGGTTTGTTTGATAAGTTAGTAAATAGAACTAAAGCTCTGAGTTGTGTCAACAGCCGCTGATTTTTGTTTAACCTTTTTTTGTTCAAACAGATGGGTGTTTGGACTAAGGATACAAATCCCCTCCGTCTTACGGCAACTCGTAACAATGGTACATTTATTTTTGGCGTGCGCCCTCTTAGAGTCACTACAATTCGCGTAAGTACCCCAAATCTTTGTGTATTAATCGGCTATAAACTATCGAATATTCAGTATTTGAAAATGCTACGATAATGATTTGCGCTGTTCGCATTGCTTGTAGGGCCGGAATACTAGTATTTGTTGTCTCGATGCGCCCTGGTCTACAACGCGTATAAAATGCATTGTTTGTTTACATGAAGTTTGCACGCGTTCTGTACTGTATGACAACCATCATTCTTTACCTACCACGGCACCCATGGCACGGCTGGTAGAGTGAAGTGGATTATGCTAGACTTGTTTGGATGAATCGACAGGTCCGTCAATCAATCAATTAACTATCTATCTATCTCGATCACGGAGGAACCATTTGTGATGTTGAAACAGGGATATGAGGAGAAGGGTTACCGCGGCAACGACCGATTTGAAGGATATTGTATCGATATGCTCGAAGAGCTTTCAAGGTTATTGCATTTCAACTACGAGGTAGAATTGGTACCCGACGGAAAGTTCGGGTCGATGGAAGCCAACGGCGAATGGAATGGACTGGTGAGAGATTTACAGGATAATGTAAGTGTCAGAAAAACAGCATTAACGATTTGATAACGCATGCGTAGCGAACATCTGATATTAAATATGATTCCCCATTAAAAGGCATCATAACACGTGACTACCGTGTTCCGTTTACCAGAGCACACGCCGTTGTGTTTGATTATCGTACACCTCACGTGTGCGTCAGAGTTTCCATTAATCCTACGTCTCACATGTGCATTAGAGTTTCCATTAATCCTACGTCTCACATGCGCATTACAGTTT